GGTACAGTTTGCCACCTATCAAAATATTTGACAAGCATAGACAAGTGGTTTACACTATCTCAAAATTAGGTATGACTGAAGTATACAACAAATAACCCAGTAAAAAGGTTTTAGCTAAAATGTTTCTTAATATCACTCTTTTGTTATTGTTTATTATGTAATAATTTCAATGTTTGTGTAGGAAAAACTTTTATCCTTGACAGATCGAACATGCAAAGTGAATAACTGGACTAACACAATTAGGATTCATAATTTTTGAAATTTTAGAATTAAAATGAATTTCAGGCAGATACTTATCTCTGAAATACTACAAACCTTTGCTTGTTGAGTTTACTCTCATGTTGTCAACAATTGTGTGATTTTAGGTTTTGAATGCCCTAACACAGCATACAGCATGAGTCAACTTGCCCAGATTTCTCCACTTTCACATGACTTATTGTGCCTGCATCAGGAGAATGTACATAAGCTATGCTTTTCCACAATAATCAGATTTCTTAGTTGCAGTCATGATGGGAACCATGTAACTCCTGGATGTGGGGAGGGGGGGGGCGTGTACTTCAGAGATAGGTACCTTTTTTAAATTCACTTTAGTTCTAAAAATGTAAAGTTCAAATCAGTTAGACTTGTCTCTGAAATGTTAAAAGTCAGAACACTCACACTGACATAGACAAGTAACTGATTTAAACTTTACAAGTTGGGCTCTTAGGCAGGAAGGTAACAAACCAAAAACCACATAAACTGAAAGATGTATCAAGCAAAGAATTCAGAAACAGAGCAAAAGTTGAAGTTTTGTCTAGGACAATTGTGGACATATAAGTAACATGTCTTGATTAGACAAATTCATTCAAACATGTAGTCTCATATTATAAGGATGAGACAGTTTTTTTCATAAAATGATTCCTTAACTCTAGATGTCCCTGTAATTATTAAAAGGGGGTGTTAATCAGTATAATTACACCCAGTTGCATTATTCTGTACAAAACAGGTATGGTACCAAGTGGTAATTAAGCAGGTAACAGAGAATGATTCACCTGCTAGGGACTCCATCTGGCTTGTACAAACACAACCACAAGCAAATAAAATTTCAAAGCTGAAGAGACAACAGTGTGATATAATTAAATTTGAGTAAGTATTCAGATTCTTCTATGTGCTAGCTTGCAGAATATCTAAAGGGTACTGCAATCAGACACCAGAGATGTCACCAAATAATGATACATAACCCAAATTTTACTTAAAGGTGTTCAGGAACCTCACAGTAAACAGATGGAATCAATTGTACAAGACATTTTGCAAAAATTCTCTGACAGATTCAGTATAAGTTTAAATTTTCCTATACCAAAAATGTATTTCTGATAATACTTACCTCTCCTCACACTTTAGCTTTATCCCGACAAAAGATTCTCTTCTTTGCCTATCTAAGCATTGGTATGAATTATACCTCACTTGCTCCAGTCTTGATACCCCACTATATCACTCCAAGTGATTATAATCTTGTGTCTCTCTCCACCTACACCTGTGTGCCACTTATACAAGATTTGTATATAAGCTCCCCGTTATTATTTCTTCGTCACTTTTTCAAGACTAGCAAAATTATCAGACCCAAATACCGGCCATTGTGTGGAGCAAGGGCGAGATAGTGTGAGAGGAGGTATTATCAGAAATATATTTTCAGTACAGAAAAATGTAAACTTCCAAAACAGATTTACCTCCTCTCACCCTTTAGCTAGAATCCCACATTGACAAGGTAGAGGGGATGGTGAAGACAAGATCCACACAGATAATGTCCACGTGGAAATCAGGTGTGCAAATTGAGATATAGTATAGTGTGATCTCCACTACTTCTGGAACAGGTATGCTCTTCACCCAGATCATGTGAAATCTAAAATGCTGGTGGTAAAGGCCAACCAGCCACAGTGTCAAAAGCAAAACATGCAAGAAGAGACATTATTCCAAGACTGGTTCTTCCTGCAATACCAGACACACCTGGTCTGTAAATATTCAGACTAAAACCATGCAGACAAGGTTCCATGTCTTGTCATTCAAATTATAGGGCTGTGGACCCAAACTAGATCCTAGGTGTAGTGGCTAGAGCATGGGGACTGCAGTGTGATATAATTGTATGATAGTAATATAATATTATAGGAACCCAACCTGAAAGTTACAAAATGTTGCATGTCAAGTCATTGGAATTACAAAGAGAAGGCAAGCAACATAAACAGTGGACAAACCCTCACTCCAACCTGAAGAAGCACAAAATGCATGAAACTGAACTTAGAATTACGGGGCCCAGGATCCCAACCTGAAAGTTACAGGATGTTGCATGTGAGCCACTGGAATTATGAGGAAAAGGCAAGCAACCACCTTGTGGACGAGCCTCCCCCCCAACCTGAAGCACAGAAGACAACAAACCAAACTTGGAATTATGGGTCCTCTCACACCTCACTCAAC